GTCACGTCCAGCTTGGCTTTAATATCCTACTAGGTAAGGATATGGACTATACCCTATAATGGAGGTCTATCATGATTTTTTATTCTACACACTCTCTCGCGTAATGTTGGGCACTTCCACAGATACAACAGGTGTTATTGAAGCGATAGTAGGATCGGTCCCCATGGTCCTTGCCGCAATGCTTGCAAGTCCTATTGAAGAGGAACTAAATTATGTTGGAGAGGAACTGGGTGACCATGTGGTGGCACCTGGTTGTATGATAGGGCACCAGATTGTACTGTGGCAGTGCCAAATGATACAATAGAGGGCGCAGAGTTGTATCGAGATGACACTGAATCTTCTCGTTGTAGGGGTGACTCATACTGCGGCAGTGGTGGAGGCATCAGAGAGCTCCCTCCTCTCTTTCCTGACCTACTGGACAAAGATGAGTCTCTCTAACATCTTGAAGAGCTGATCGACATCCTCTCAAAGGGACCCGTCTCGGGCTGTCCTATTCAATAGGGGCCCTCCTCTCCCTATGTCTTTGTACTTGTTTTTCACAAGAAATGGTTGGGTGATAGTTCGTATTTTATATTTTTAAGTTTTTGTGTAAGGAATAGTTTCAAAAAACGCAATTCTGATACCAACTGTAAAGACCCTTAACCTTAAATGAAAATAAATTCATAAATTAAATGTAGAAGCGATTAATTTTTTCTATTTGTACTTTGACCTCCTATTTCTAATTTTTCTTTCAAAAACACCCATCGAACCCAAATTTTTACCCATTTTTTCTAAAATTATTTTCAATTCCATCTCTAACATATTTTTTTTCAATAAAATTAAATTAAATTAATTTATAAATAAATTTCTATTTATTTTTTAAATATTAAAATTAATCCTAAAACAAATTCCGGGCCCGGATATTACAAAGTTATTATAGGGTCCTCTTAATGTGGAAGGAGATATTAAGCGTCCTCTTAGTGTGGAAGAATGAAGGGGTCGAATTATGGAGTTAGTACGTGCAATAGGTGTTTAGTAAATGTATGGATGGGCAAGTTGGCAGGTGGTAGTAATATTGACGAGGGCTCATATTGGTTGTAGGGTAAATCCATGAGTGGTAAGATAGGGTTACAAAGCGAAAAAAGGGCGAGAAGAACATTGGGATGTAGGTGTAGACTTAGCACCAGGCTAGAGATTCAAATGTATTTCTATACCTTATTTGAGTTTTGAATTTATTTTACTAGACTGGAGTATGCTCACTTTGTATCATTTGCAGATGCAGTAGGATAGGAGACGGAAACAAAAACCCAGCCAGTGGGACCATACCTAGGGAAAGTGAATTAACAGGAAACTGGATGCATATTGGATTACACTGGATGTTCATTCATTTTATGTCTCGGTAGTACATAGGAACTTTTTCTGATTCTTTTTTATCTGCTATCTTAATATGGTTGAATTGTAAAATGAGTTATGAAGATTTCGTTAGATAGACTTGATGATTGTAATGCACAGAGGACATTTGGTTTTGGATGAATTCATGAATAGGGAGTTTGAGTATAATGTGTGTTATGAAACACTTAGGGATGTTAAAAACATGAACCGGAAAAAGCCACTAATGGGTCCTAAAAGTTCAAAATCGATGAATCGTTTTTAGGTAAACTGCATCCAATAGGAGTAGAGGAGCTTTGAGGGGTCTTTTTGCTTCAAAAGTATTGGAGTATGAGACTCTAATGAAGCATAATTTTAGCAATCAAATAAACACACAACATTTTAGTAAACAATCCCCAACATAAACAATCCCCAACATAAACAATCCCGTTGAGGGAATATATAAATTTATTATTGAAGTAGTTTAATTAATTTATCTAAAGAAGCTTTTTTGTATAGTTTGGTTATTTTATGTATTGTAGCATAAATTTTTGTTAATAAATCAAATTTATTTTTTTTTTAAAAAAGGGGGATTAAAAAAAAATACAGAAGAAAAAAGCTGTAAAATTAATAATTTCATTAGAAAAATTATGAATTGCTTAAAAAGGAAAGGGAAAAAAATAGTCAAAATAATAATAGTAAATTAATGATTTGATTAGACAGTAAAAATAATGAATTTACAAAAAATGCAAAATTAACTCATAATAAATAATAAACGTGTAGGCGTGTAATTTTAATTGATTAAAAACGGTAGTAAATAAATTTAATATTAATGCAAAAATTTCAATAAGACTAAAAATTAAATTTAAAAAATTTTGAAAACCAAAAAGAAGAAAATTTTAAAAAAGTAAAAAATAATTATGATACCATATGGGTTGGCAACATAATTAATTAAAATAAAAATAAATTAAGTAATTATATTATTATATGAAAATATTAAAATTATTATAATTATTTAAGTAAAAATTAATTTCGAAACTATTTCATTTTTTTATCTAACCATAGTACATGGAATTATATAATTACATAAGGCGTAAACTTGAGCCTTTATAAGTATCCATCACTAAATTATTGCCATAAATATAATTATTGGAAACTATAAAAATATTAATTTTATAATTCTTAAATCATATTATTTTTATTGAATTGTTAACTATAAAAATAAATTTTTATGAATTTTTGAGAGAGAAATTTGCTGATAAATAAATATTTATTTTAAATTAAATTTAGAGTCTGATTTTTCTGAAATATTTTTTTTAGAATTTTTATATGCAAAATAAAAAAATTTTAAGAGCAAAATTTGCTGATAAATAAATTTATATGGAAATTAAAAAATAAATATAAAATTATTTTTAAAATAAATATAAAACATTGCCATTGAATGATATGATTAGTAAAAACTTTAATGCCGACCTTTCAAATAACGACAAAATTTACGTGTGAAAACGCGCTACCGCCCTTTGAATTTTCCATTGTAATAGTTTATTTTTGTATGTCCTTTTTGGTCTTTTCACACTCTGGTCTATGCCTACTCTTCCTTTATATAAGGGAATACTACCGGTTATGGAGGTCGTAAAAGTCAGAGCAGCAAAGGGTAGAAGATCAGATTCGGTGAGAGAAACAAAAAAAAAACAAAAAAAAATGGCGGAGGGACCTTTGGCTGGTGGTGTTTCGAACGTCGAGGGAAATGCAAACAGTGCTGAGTACGAAAACCTTGCTCGGTTCGCTGTCGACGAGCACAACAGGAAAGAGGTAATTACTCTCTTTTCTTCAATTCTTACTTCCTGCTTTCTGTTCGTTTCTCTGGAAAATTTCCACTAGAATTGAGATTATGTTGAAATTCAAGCATCTAATCATGTATTTCGATGAAATAATCATAACTATGAACTTACAACTTATATATCGGCAAACAGAGGAGTTTTGTTGGCTTAATTAAATTTTCAGCTGATTGCTTATATATGTATGTATATATATACCTGTTTCTCCAAAATTCTTCAGCGTTTCTGTTGTTCTTTTGTTCTGTAATTTAGTTCGAGTGGTTTAGCTTAATGTTTTCTCTAAGATTTGATGTTTTATGTGATAGTCAATTCCTGTTAAGTAGCTTGTACGTAGAAAAGGAAAATTGATCAAAAGTTAATCCATGAACAACATAAGAAGCAAATATTTGCAGGCAACTCATCCATGATTTCTCAATTATATTGTGATTTGACGGCATTGATGTCATCATTTTTCTGTGCACGTAAGAACAGATTTTGTCTAAATCTTTTTCGACAGAAGTAATCTGATGCTTACGATAGTTTAGAGACTCTATCGCCAGTTCAGGTAACCATCAACTAAAAATGTGGATGAAGAAATCATGATACAAGAAACTGAAGGTCTCCAACCTATAAATAGATTTGTGATATTCTATTGTGAATTCTGCATGGGTAGAAAAGAAAAGATCTCGTTGAAACATTTTTTAATATTATACGAACACAGATCTACACATTTTGATGATATAGATTGTTATTGTGTTGGCGCTATAGAGACAGCTTAGATAATCATAACAATCATAACCATTAATAATTGTAAGTGACATATTTTATTGGTTAAATTAAATATGCGGAAATTATTTTTTATCATCCAACAGTTAAAAATTTAGCTTGTGAGTTCAAATTTACTGCAGTATGATTTTAATCATGTTTGAAATAGTTCATAGATGTCATAAAATTTATTTGTAAATTTATTGTTATTTCAGCTGATAGAGATGATGCAGATTATATTAGAATAAACTTCTATTCTTTTAAGAGGAGATTTTTACTATCATTTTGTTGAATTAAGTAGACCTTTATGATCGATTTCTTTTTTTATTCTCATATATACTCCACATATAGCTTATTTTTTTATGAAAAATCAACTTTCATAAAAAGGGAAAATTTAACAACTATTCCTGTTGAAGTAGGGGATATAGAAACTGAGTAGTTCTTGAGTGAGCCATTGCTCATCAGGGACATGTGTTGCCTGCATAGCTAAGACGTTTAGCACCTGATTGCACAATATAGAAACTCAAACAGCAGAAAAGAATAGTCTTAGTTTACTTTACTAACAAGTATTATAGGCTAAATAGTTGTTACAGGCTGCTCTTATCAATTTTTATCAGCTGCGAACATTTTGTGTTTCGATTTGCAACAATAAATTTTGTGATGGGAATTTTGCAGAATGCGTTGCTGCAGTTCAAGAAGATTGTGAATGTAAAACAGCAAGTGGTTGCAGGCGTTATGTACTACATCACTTTGGAGGCTTTAGATGGTCACAAGACCAAGATCTACGAAGCCAAGATCTGGGTTCAACTTTGGGAGAATTCCAGGAGCTTAGAGGAATTCAAGCTTATTGGTGATGCTAAGTAGCTCAGTAAAGTAACAAAAAATTATGGGTATGATTGGAACAAATGAATTATTTTGAGTGAAATTTATTTTAAAATTTTGTTTTTGATTTAGCTTTGAGAGAATGAAAGTTCAATAATAAAAATGAAAAGTTTTAACTCCAAAGGAAGTTCAATTGTGTCAACTCTTGAAACTTTTTTGGAGTTGGATTTTCTGGGTTTTTATTCTCTCGTAACTAAATCAAATACAAATTTTGAAATAAAATTTTTTAAAAAAATCTATTTGTTTCAACAATAACATGCATCTCAATGTTTTGTTGTATGGTTGTTAAAAAATTTAGAAGTTTCTTTTTAGATAGAGTTATGTGTGTTTGTATGAATCTCAAACAATATTGTTAGTGTTTCTCTAATTTTCTCATTAAATGAATTACTTTAAAAAAATTTGTTAATATAAATTAGAGGAACCAAATAGTACTTGTTTTAGTGAAAGTTCGTTATTACGTAATTGTAAAAGTTCAAAACACCTAGTAGAGATTTTAAGTATTTTGGCCCGATAATAATAATAATGATAATGATAATAATATCGGGTTTTTTTATTCAACAGAAGAATTAATGGTTTGAAAATTATATTTTTTACATGTTTATTTAAAACGTCCAAATATGGGTTATGAGAATGTTTTGAAACTTGAAACAAGAAAAAAAAATACTAACAAGAAAATATTATTAACCTCTATTCAAAATTAACGAAACGAAAAGAGATAATTATTTAGCTAGTCTATTGTTGTTTAAAATTCAAGTTTTTATTATCCTAATCTGAAATGGTTAATAAGAAA